CTGGACCGCGGGGCGAGCCTGCGGTGTAAACGGGGCCCTTGTCGCTTCGAAAGGCAGCCTGGGGTTTTCGGGAGGCCCTCGGGGCGGCAAAGCTTTCCAAGCACCCAGCTCCCTCTCTGTCCGGAACGAGCCACCGAGATTTGGGGGTGCCTGGTTTTCCCCATGCTCCCAAAGGTTGCTTTCGCAGCTTGATTGACAGTGGGTCAGGACGTTGCGAGGGGAGGGGGGCGAGCGGGAGCTTGTAGCTTTTCAAGATTCAAGTCACTAAGAAGCAGCCTAAGGTTACTGTTGCAAAGAAAACTCGAAATAACTCGCCAGGACCGTACTTATACTTGTATTTGAGTGACATCTTTTGCACAAATCCATCTCAACCCGGCTGACACTATTAACGCACTATGTCAGAGCAGTATCTCACGCTTAGGAGCCGTTTAATCCGTAAAGGAAAGAAAGAGTAAAATGCACCTTTCGCTTTTAATGGGATACACGTGTAGAGTTGAACTTTCCCCACTCAGATACAGTTACTCTGGATAAAAATCGGCGTGTGGTATTATTTGTCAGGCCTGCCTGCTGTAGACCGCTGACTTGTGGACTTCTAACCTCTATATATAGTGTGCTTTTGTATTAAAAATGGGAAAATGAAACAAAGTTGCTATTGGAAAACTGGTGACCAGTAAATCATAACCCTTTATAAGCAGTTGGTTTTTGTTGCCCTTTTGGAAATGGAGTCGATTTTAGTAACTTGTGATTAATGAGTGTTGTGGAATTTAAAGCGGAAAAACTTTTTTAAAAAAATTAGATCTTCCTGGAAGCTGCAGTTCTGTTAAATTTTTGGTACTTCAGTTTGCTCTACAACTTCCCCCGTTTAACTTTCTGTTCACTTGTACAGCTACTCTTTAAAGTATTTTAGAATAATTGTTTGCACCAGAAAGGGGCTTAGTAGTTGTTGAATCAGTTTTACAAATGTGTAATTCAAAAATTTTTTTCCTTAGGAGATTTGGTTTTTGCCTTTTTCTCAACTGAAATATTAATATAAATAACTACAAAATAGGTACAAAGTTCATTGTAAACTAATGGGTAGTATAGTATTTATAGTGATTTTGAAATGAGGAAGGCTTGTTTAGGCATAATTCACTTCCATTATTAAAAACACCTATCGCAGTGCAAAATTGATTGAAATGTTAATTAATGAATGGTGGTAACACGTAAACTTAGTTGTAATTTCATTTGCTTTCATTGTGCCAGTATTTATGTTTCATGAAACGGTATTGCCTATACACGTTTTCAGAAAATTGGAGTGGCAAAAGTAAGCTGAACATAAATGTTAGCAACACTTTGGGTTTATTTTTAAGTCTGATTTAAATGCTTTTAAATTCTAGCATGGAGAAGGTAGACAAGGAAATAGTATGATTTCTCATGATTTTCTTTTTAAAAGAGTAGTAATGAAAACAAGAAAGAAAATCATCTGCGGTGGAATTTAATGATTGGATCCTGCGTGAGTCAGGCTAAGCATTTTAGATTTTTTTTTTAATGGAGGTACTGGGGATTGAACCCAGGACCTCACACATCCTAAACACGCACTATACCGCTGAGTTATACCTAACTCGTCCCCACCCCGTGCTGAACATTTCAGTAACTTCGTTTTATTTAGTTATCTGCTGTCCTAAGAGTCCTGCCGCTTTAATGGCCATTCAGTAATTCAGCAAAAATATTGAGTGCGTACCCTGTGCTAGGCACCATGATATGCATATTACTTGTTTACTATTGGGAATGACAACAGCAAATTAACGAGCGTCCTGATTTAAAATTGAGTTGTTAAAGGTTACAATTTAAAACATTTATATAGATTATATCATATTTTCATCCTGTTGCTTGAACCCCCTTCCCTGATTGACATGAAACAGTGCAAAACTTGGGAACATTTCTGATGCCAATAGCTTTCAACACATTTAAACAAACACAAATGATGAACTTTGACAATTGAAGTGAAAGTACATCTCTAATTAATGAAAATTTGTTGTCAGGGAACTGATTAAATGATTTGGGATAATTAATTTGAACTGACCAATTCTGCCTAAAACTAGAGGAAATTTTTGTGGTCATTGCATTCGCTCATAGTGAAATCCCCACAGTAATGCTTCTTCCACCCTGTTTGGATGTT